TTTTTGTCATCCTCTGTTACGTCAGAGGTTACAGAGTCATGAGGCACAACGTGGAGCTTCAGAGCCTCTTCTCTGGTGAATGTGTGATAGAAGTCGTACTCATCAATCTCCCCTAGGCCTACAGGCGGGAACACTCTGTTTATGAGAACGTGAATAATGAAGGAGATTGGATAGCCAATGATGAACGAAATCTCAAACATCTTTATAGCTGGCTTTGGAACGTTTGTGAGGTTAGGGTTAACGCTTGGGAAACCAATAATACCAGGCACGAATCCGCAGATCCATGAGACAAATGCCCTCCAGTTGAATCCATACCAGAACCAGTAGATGGAATTGGGATCTGCAGAGTACAAGTCGGTGAGCTTCAACTTTTGCTTCCTCACGATGTAGTAATCTGCAGTGAAAGTACCAATCATTGGCCCTAGGAAACATCCATATGATCCCAGCACAGCAAGGAAAACATTCGCATTTGCCAGGATCTGCCATGGCTGAATCAAAATTGACACAATCATGATGATATAGGCTCCTCTTCTAATGTTAATCCATCGTGGTGCAATTGCAACAAGGTCGATGCCTCCAGATACACCGTTATCGATTGTGTTTAGTCCCAAAGTTGAGACGAAGAACCCAAAAGAAGCAAAGAATGCAGCACACCGTGATTTTGGTGTGTATGCCTCTAAAATCCACTGTTCAATGATACTAGTTGGATTCCACAGGTTCAGCTCGTTAACGTCGCCATATGAATGAGATGCAGCCGAGGTACCCAATAAACCAAATAGAGGAACAACGGTACCAAACCCCAGGATTGAAACCAGCTGGCCCCAAACCTGCTTACCAGGCTTTGATGCAAATCTGGAGAAATCTGGTTGGTTTGCTAAACCAACAGCAAACGTGTTGATGACGATGTTTATGCCGTGCATCCAAGTCATACCCATATCTGCGCTTCCATGTATTGAAGAACTCGAATGAAGCACCTCACCTGCTCCATGAGCATGAACCATAGACCCTATGGCAGTTCCAAAGACTGCAAAGAACGAGATACATGTGACAACCTTGAACGGATGATGCAGTTTCTCTGGAGGGATATATAGGAATGGAATCGAGAGAACATTGTAGATGATAAATCCAATAAACTGTTTCAGAGTCATAGGCACAGACTCTGGGAGTGTATTATGAAGATTCATAAAACTTGGGAAGATACAGCTGAGCATAATCGACATTAGTTGAGCACCAGTAAATGCCTGAACACCATACCAGACGACACACAGCACAATACGTTGTATAAGTGCTAGAAACGCTCCGTACATGCCAAACGTGAAGCGACTATAGATTGGGTAGCCAACGTGCCACACAGCACCACCCCAACCATGTGAAAGGGCAACGGCGAAAATGATCATCTTACCTATTATAACCACACACATCGATTGCCACACATTTAGGCCTAAAGCCAGTAGAGATCCACAGGACTGCCATGTCGAGATGGACAGCGCTATGACGTTCCAGAACCCTAAGAAGTCCCAATGTCCCCATGTCCGTCGTGAAGGTGGTAGACATATAACATCTGGCGACCTCCAGTTGTTGGTGCTTACAGTCTCCGAGTCTTTGATCTGGAGCTTAGACAATATTGCATCAACGGAAAGTGGCATGTGTGAGGACAGGGAGCACACACTAGTTGTGTGTGTGGTTGTAGCTAACAAGACACCGGGATAGTACAGTCGACGAGTACACCAACGTCTATGTAGAAGTATAGCTACAAGCCACGTACAATATCCCACTTTTCTGATCAACAAGGAAATTACCACTCTGTGAACAGAGCAAGGAAGGATATGGCGTCTTTTTTATACCTGTGGTGATCGCCAACGGTATATCAAAATTAAATAGTATTAATATTTACATCTATGGCATATTCCAGCATGCCTATTTTATGCTATGACGTGTGAATAGCGATAGTGAAGACAACACTATCTCCACGCCATTACACCTATGCTGGCCGTGTTAAACGTTCTTTGATTAAGCAATAATACATATGTATACGTGCACTTTCATAAAACCTTGTTTTTGAGCGTGAGGTACTAAGCGTGAGGTTCTAAGTGGTGTGTAGATCAAGACTGCATGTGTAATATGGAATCTGAGCTCTAGACGGTACAGCAGCTCTCGAACAGTCAAACAGGATATATTGTGTCATCCGCATCTGGACCATCATAAAACCCAGGTGGAATAGAGTGAGTAAAGAGTGGTATACTCAGAGTGTGAGTCGTGAACGGAATATGGCAACCAATCACACCTCTCCTACTTCTTCTAGGTTTGCTTTTGACAGTACATAGAGCTTAAAAAGCCACAGCGAATATCACTCGGTTCTTGCTTCCCAAAGAACTCATATCCGTCTCGACTTTACACATTCTGCCAAGT